AGAATATATGCAGTGTATTATTTGTTGAAACTGTACTCTCGATTTGATTTGAAACTGTCTCATTGCTATATGTTTATCAATAAAACTTTGAAAAAAAAAAAAAAAAACAGATATAGGTAAGTGCAGGGGCCAGGATTTGATCCCTTGCACTGCACGCCAAACCAGCCCCAGTCCCAGGCATCCTGAGCTGTTGATAGAGTCCGGATGTGGTTGCACATGCCTGTAATCTCTGCACTAAAGAGGCAGAAATCAGGAGGATCACTACAAATCTGAGCTGCATAATCAGATCCTGCACAAAAAATAAAGAAAGATCTAGATAGGAGGCTGAGGACTGAGGCAGGAAGATCACTATAAGTTGAAGGTCAGCCTGAGCTACAAAGTAAGTTCAAGGCCAGCAAACTGCATAGAAAAAATCCTGTCTCCAAAAAAAAGACAAAAAAAAAGAATGAAAGAGATGGGGAAAAAATAGTTTGAGAAAAGTGGCTAAAAGATATGGAAAGGCAAGCTTAGTTATATTGGACATTGATGGATTAGCTGGAGAAGATAGCCATGTGTTACACAGTCTGTACCACATTACACCTCAGTCAGTAAAACCACATTTACAGTGGTACATACCACACAGCCTAGGTATATGGCAGACTACATCATCAAGGTTTATGCAGGTATAGTCCAAGACAAAAAAATCACCTAAGGATGAATTTCTCAGAGCATAACCCCACTGCTAAGCAGCATGTAACTTACAGGGATAACTTACAAAGAAACATAAACTTCCTGTTGACCATGTGATTTGACCATCACAACTACCTTACAAACAAAACATTCTTGTCCTTCTTATATAAATCGAGAAAAGAACTGAGAGGAAAAGGAAGTGAGCCTGTGTTTGATGTACTTCACATATATCCTCATACTTAATTCTCGTAACTAACCATAATGAATCTTACAGGAGATAGCCTCAGAAAGGTAATTTGACTAACATCACACCAACAGTAGAATCAGAATTCCAGCTTCAAAGATCTTCCCCCAGTAGGTCAACAACACCACTCAGGAGTCACATACAGAATCGTGACTGGTTTGTCACACTGTGGAAGAGCTGGTACCTACCTGTTAATGCAGCCGAGTGGGCTGAGCCGGCGAGAACACATATTGCTTTAGAATTCTCTAGGCCTGCAAAAAAAAAAAAAAAAAAAAAAAGTTTTCTTCTGAATTATAACAGAACAAACCGGACAAAGGGGGGACTCTCAGCTAACACCCCTTGGGTATGGAGAGAGACTCTAAGCAATTCAGGCAGGTATGGGTCAGCAGCATTGGCCAAGGTGGCAGCTGGCATAGTGGGTGACAGGAACACACTAGAGGTGTGAACAGATAAGTAAACACTATCACAGAACAGAAAGTACTACTGTGAAAAGAGGAAAGCTAGAACCAACCAGGTGAGACTGGATTATAACTGGGAAATCAGAATAAATTCACAGCTTCTGGGAGAGTCAGAGATATGTGTTTATATGTAGAAATATATATTTGACTGTATTTCTGTCTGCCAAGTGAGCCTGGAAGCACTGACAGCTCCTACCTACATGCAGCTGCTATTGCGTGCAGGACTTAAATACAAACCAAGCTCCTTAAACACACAAGGACAGAACTAAGATTGGTTATCTATCTCCAAGTCCACACTCTTCCCCACTTCACAACACTATCTGGGTGACAAAGCAGGACCCCAAACAAGTCTGCTGGAAGTTGTGATAACCTACGGTGAGGATAAATGCAGTCTTATTCTATGACTTCTGCAATTTCAGTTTCAGTAACTAGTATCTTCACAAAAGACATCTCACTTCTTCAAATATGCTGCGCAATAACAAAACTGAGCAGGTATTTCCAACCACATTCATCCAGAGAGGAATCCTGAACCCCTACTGGACAGGTGAGGAGGGGACGGCCGGGGATCCAAGTCCAGAGCCTGTGGTTATGAGGTTAAGAAGGGAAAATGCAAAGTGAAAGACTTTGAGGCCAGGGATTGATGATCCATTCTCAGGGCTCATCAGAAACTCCCCCAAGTTAACTCTGAATTCAAGCTATTACTCCAAGCAAGTCCGAAACAGGCTATTTAAATAAAATCAACTAAAAGAAAAAATTCAGTTCCTTATAGTCATTGATCCTCTGCTACCATACATAGAAGAAAGACACACAGTTCCTGGCATGTAAAAAACCTTATTAACAATTCATATTCATGGAATGCTCTGTGCTTTCAGCAGACATCAAGAAAACTCAACTGAGGTTAGAAGAAGAAAGTCTTCACCAAGAGAACTGCCTCTGAGTGAGCCTTGAAAAACCCCTGGGATTTTCCAGAGCCAGCAGCAAGGAAGGGCATTTGGAGCAGAGCAGACAGTGTATCCACAAGCATGAAGGCATGGAACAGCAGGGGCTGCTGAACCAGCAGCGAACACTTTGACAAAGAAGGTAAATGGCTTGGCAAAAGTGAGTTTATGTTTTCAAAGGGATGTGATATGACGGCCTCAACATCACATCATCCTTTTCTGAGTTCCCTCCCCAACTCAGCCCAGAGGTTCAGGAAACTTACTCCAGCTCCCTCTGAAGAAGAGACTTCAAAACTTAAAAAAAAACCAGGATGTCCCCAATATCCATATATATGATCCCCCCACTATAGGCTTCCCTTCCCAACTCTGGGTCATAAAGTAAAAGAATAAAAGAAACATGAGATATAGACATAATGCTATATACAAAGACAGAAGGACCAACAAAGAGACTGGAAGAAAGAGAGGAGACACAGGAAAGACAGGAGAGAAAGAGGTGAAGGAAGAGGAAAAAGAAGAGGAAGAGGAAAAAATCCCTACAGACCAATTGACCAACCAAAGATCAATCAACAGAACACTTATTACCTATTCTTCATGTTTTCATACAGAGATTTCCCCCACAAGAACACTCCTGGCTCTACATCCTCATTCCTGTTCCCTGTTTTTAGACAAGGAGCTGGGCACAGGCGGATCAGTCACAGTCCTTCTGGGCTCTGCCTCTGTGCTGGGCCTGCCCACAGGGAGGCTGCACTCCCATGTCTGCTCAGCCATGCAGCAAGCTTACCAGGACTGACTGCAGTTGCCTAGTGAGGAAGGTCAATCTAGGGTGAGGATTTACAGGGTCACTATTACTACGCATTATTTCTAAGCACTTAAGTCATATCTTCCAAGTAGCAATGCAGAGCTACCATTTTCATCCCTACCCACCCAACCAGCACCTCTCAGTAGGTCCCAAACTGACTGCAACGAGGATTCATTTTATTGGACAGAAGTCCCAACAAGAGAAATACCAACCAACAGGAAATACTGGACAGAGAGATCAAGAAAGGACAGAAGTAAAAATTCATTTAGTCATTTTCTCCATGTGTGTCTCTACTTCACCCCAAAGAATAAATACAAAACTAAGAAACAATGGACTCACCTGTAACTCTACTTGGTTCCTCTGCTGTCAAAAACAATGGAAGAGTATGCCCAGGGCATAACTGCCGTCCAGATGATGCCAAGCCAGTCCCCCACTGGAACACAGTGCCGCTCACTTCCCCATGAAGCACAGAAGAAAAGAGAAAAAAATGACATCAGGATAAGACCAGACTGGTATGCCAAATATAGTGATACACATCTGTAATTCTAGCACTTGAGAAGCTGAGGTAAGAAGATTCCCCAGGATTTCAAAGCCAGCCTGGTCTACATAGTGAGTTCAAGGTCTGCCTGAACTACATAGTGAGAACTGCCTTAAAAGGAAGAAGGGAAGGAGGGAGGAAGGGAGGGAAGGAGGAAGGGAGGGAGGCAGGGGAGTGAGGCAAGGGGGAGGTAGGGAAGGGGGAAGGAGGGAGGGGAGAGAGAGACAGACAGACAGATAGACAGGGGAGGAAGAGAGGGAGGGAGGGAAGGGGGAAGGAGGGAGGGGGAAAGGTAGGAGGCAGGCAGGCAGACAGACACACACAGTGAGACAACCAGATTGCTCTGTGAACAAAAAGCTCAAATAATACTAAGCACTGATGAAGTATGGGAAATTCCCTATTTATTCTCAGTTAAGATGACTACTATAGAAGTTTGATTGCTTCAAGGGGTCCTGTGACTATTAAAAGGATTACCATGAAGCCAATCATAAATCCAGTCATAAGGACAATCTAAGACCATCAAAGATAATTCCAATATAGTAAAACTTCCTTCAAAAATTTCTAGGCTATTCCTCCTGAGTCAGATCACAGCAAATTCATCATTACTCAAACAGGAGTGATTGTGGAACCAAAGGACCACCTCACTGAAACTGCGACTGCTAACTATCTTGTAATCATAAGTACCTTTTTTTGTGGCATTTAACAAGCTTTGAATTCATCCTGCTTTAGTGGAAAGGACATTACTTTAGGTGTCAGGAATGCTGTTCCATGATCACCAAACCAAATAGAAAAGAACTGTGAAGCGGTGAAGACCACTAAGTTCCCTCTTCTCATTTACTGCATGAGAAAACTGAGGCCCTGCAGAAAGGATATGATTTGTGTCCACAAGAATAAAGGAAAAAATGCTAGGATACAGCATTATTCCTAAAAGTAATTTTCATAAAGTATTCTCTTCTTTTTTTGGTACCTGGGATCAAATTCAGTGTCTTGTGCTTGCCAGGCAGGTGCTTATGCTGCTGAGCTATCTCCCTGGCCCGATAAGTATTCTTTTTGAAATAGTGCTGTAATACCATCATCAGACCTAAAAAAATTAAGAATTCTGTAGGGGCTGGGGAGATAGTTCAGTGAAATAAGTGCTTTCCTGGCAAGTGCAAGGTACTGAGTTCAATCCCTGGTACTACCAAAAGTAACAATAATAGTAATAGTAATTCTGTAATACCATTACATATCCAGTAGATATTTACATTCTCCTGTCATTTGAATCATGTTCTAAACTAGATCTGCATATTACAGTTGATTGATAGGAATCCTGAGTCTCAAAACCTTAGGGATTTTTTTTTTTTGAGTTTTCTTAATTGCCTTAATAATAACAAAATTTTCCATCTTAATCATAATTAAGTGTACAGTTCAGTAGGATAAGTGCATTCATGCTGTTGCAAAATCATTGTTATCCATTTCCTGAACTGTTTTCATCTTGAAAAGTTAAAATTCTGTGCCCAAAAACTCTTCAACCTCTCTCCCCCCAACATTCTATTTTGTGTCCGTGAAGTGTTAACTACTCTAAGTACCTCACATGAGTGGACTCGCCAACTGTTGGTCTTTTTTGTGACCAGCTTACTTCACTTATACTGCCCTCATGGTTCATCCATGGTGTATAGTGTCATAAACCTGCTCCGGAAGACAATATTCCTCTGTGTGTATGTGCTATGTGTACACCTATATCACATGTTGCTTATCCACTCATCTGTCATTAAGCACCTTAGTTATTTCCTTGTTCTAACTATAGAAAATAATGCTAATATGAGCTAATGACTGTTCTAGACGCTACTTTTGCTTCTTTGGATATATACCCAGGAACACAATTGCTAGATCATATGATAATTCTATGTTTAACTTTTTGAGGAGCTGCCATTTTGTTTTCCATAGCAGTTGTATACCATTTACATTCTTGCGAACAGTGCACACAAGTTTCAATTCTTCCACAAACTCACCAGTGCTTGGTATTTTGGTTTTTTGTTTTGTTTCATTTGTTTGCTATAGCATGCAAATGAGCATAAATTGGTATCTCATTGTAATTTTGATTTGCATGTCCCTAATAACTGCTGATGGTGAGCATCTTTTCATGTGTTTGGTGGTCACCTATATATCTTCTTGGAAAAATGTATTTTCAAGTCCTTTGCCTATTTTTAAATTTTTTAAATGTTAGTTATTCTTTATGTACTCTGGATAATAATCTTTTATCAGTCACCTGAAGTTTCTTTTCATCTATAAATGTTTTTATATTCTTTTGCCTTTGCAATTTGTTTGTTGAGGTGATTTTAATTTTGTTTTATTACGACCCTTTGCTTTGCTCACTTTGTGCACAAGTGAGGGAGAGAAGAACTTATAATCAAGTTAATAAAACACATAAAGCAAACTGTGCTACTTCATAACTAGACAGATACAAAACCCTAAGACTAGCAACAAAATTCAATATTTTGCATGTCATATATCTGATAAGAGGTTAACTTATTTTCTTTTTAAATTTTTTTTTTTTGTCTTTGTTTTTGGTTTTTTTTTTTTTTTTTTTGGCAGAACCGGGGGATTGAACTCAGGCCTTTGCGCTTGCCAGGGAAGCATTTATTCCACTGAGCCATCTCCCCAGCCTGAGGTTAATTTATTTTCTGTGCTGGGGAATCAAACCCAGGGGCCCCTACCACTGAGCCACATCCCCAGCCATTCATTCATTCATTCATTCACTGTTTTACTTTTTTTTTGAGGCACAGTCTCACTAAGTTGTCCAAATGGGACTTAAACTTACAATTCTCCTGCCCCAGTGCTCAAATTACAGACAAGAGCCTCCATATCTAACTATAATGGGTTAATTTCTAAAATATATAGGGAACTCTTATAACTCAATCATATAAAGTTTAAAATGGCCAAAGAGTTAAATAGACATGTCCCCCCAAAAAGATACACAAATGGTCAACATGTATATGAAAAGATGATCAAAATTATCATCAGGAAAATACAAACCGAAAGTACAATGAGAATTCACTTCATATCTGTTTAGGGTGGCTTTTTTTTTTTTTAAGTGTGTTGGTAAGAATGTGAAGGAACTGGAACGCCTGTACACTGTTCCTAGGAATGTAAAATGGGGCTGCAACTGTGAAAAGCAGTACACAGGTTCCTCAAAAAATTAACAACAGAATTAACACATGATCCAGTAATCCTACTTCTGTCTATATATCCAAAAGATCTAAAACCTGGATCTTGAGAAGATATCTGCACCACATTCGCATGTTGTCTGTAGCCCTACTCACAAAATCTAAGGCTGGGGAGATGGCTCAGTGTGCTGGGGAGATGGCTCAGTACAATAAGTGCTTCCTTGGCAAGCGCAAGGGCCTGAGTTCAATACATGGTTCCACCAAAAAAAAAAAAAATCCAAAACACGGATATAACCTGTCTCTCCAAAGATGAGCTTAAAATTGTAGCATATATGTTCCATAGAATATTATTCCACTTTTAAAAAGAAGAGAATCCTGCCATTTGTGATAATAATGAATGAATCTGGATGACATTATTCTCAGCAAAATAAACCAGACACAAAACAAAAACTACATGATACCACTTATATTGGGTACTTGTCATATAAACTCACTGAGAACACAGTAGTGGTTGTCACAGCACAGGGGCAAGAGAAATGGGAGTTGTTCCGTGGGTATAAGGTTTCAGCTACGTCAAATGAGTAAATTCTAGAGATCTGCTACATGACAGTACCTATAGTTAACATACGAGTACAGTACTGTGCGCCTCAACATTTAAGAGGGCAGATCTCATATTGTGTTCTTGACACAAAACACAAACGTGCTCACACACATACAGTCCAAAGGGACATAAAGAAACCTTGAGAAATGTTGGCTATGTCTGTTACCATGACAGTGGTGACAATGGCATCACAGATATTTGCAAATTTCTGAATCCATCAAATACACAATTACATATGTGCAGTTATGTCAACTTTACCTCAATAAGCCTGTTTTGTTTTTTGTTTTTGTTTTTTAAAAAGCCTAGCAAGTACAGAAAGTTGGTAGATAAGGGACTTAAGAGTTAAAGGTAAGGTTAGGGGTAGAAAAGCATTATATGCCATTTTCTTGCCTTACTGATTT